AACGAATGGCTGCCATCAAGAAATCAACTGATAACAAATGTTGGCGAGGTTGCGGGAGAAAAGGAACACTGCTCCACTGTTAGTGGGGGTGTAGACTGGTGCAACCACTATGGAAATCAGTTTGGACAATTCTCAGAAGACTAGGATTGGAAGTTTCATTCAACCCAGGTATTCTCCTGGATATTTTCCCAGAAAAACTGAAAAGGTCATATCACAGTGACATATGTACACCCATGTTCATAGCAACACAATTTGTAATAGCTAAATCTTGGAAACAACCATGATGCCCATCAACCACAAAGTGGATGAAAAAGATGTGGTATTTTTATACAATGGAATATTACTTGGCTATAAAAAGGATGATCTTGAGGCCTTCATAGGCAAATGGAGACAACTATAGGCTATCCTAAGTGAAATAAACAAGAATCATATTTATAAATATCACATTTTGTCTCTAGTAAAAAGTAATAAGAAATGTAGGAGTAATAAACCCCCAAATGTGTAATTGCTATTGTAAAACAGAGAGGAAAAAAAAGTGCTCTAAAGGATATAACTGCATGTATGCTTAAGTGTATAGGACTAATAACCATATTACTCAGTTTTTGTGGGATAATTGAACAGAACTGTTTGCAGTCTTGCTGTTTGAATGTCCACGTTGTATGCTTCACTTTTGTAACTTGAACAACTATTTGTAAGAGGACAATAACAGCTAGTGACTTCTTACCATTTATTTTTTTGAAATTATGCATTATTTCTACCCTTAAAAAAAAAGATAGATGCTGGGAAATAGGGAGATAGACTGTGTGAAGATGAGAAACTGATTTGGGAATGGGGAAGAGAAAAGAAGAAATAAAAAAGATCCAGATTGCTATGTGCATGCATCAGTTCCTCACAATGGATATATTGTTAATGTCCCACAAACATAGAATAATTTTTTAATTAAAAAATTATTTTCAAAAGTACTGTAAGCAAGTGGTGGGGCCTCTAGGTTATCACATAGGAAGTCATGGCTTTATTTTTTAAATTAATTAGTTAGATTTTTTTAAAGACATGATCTCACTACATAGCTCAGGTTGCTCTTGAACTCATTATTTAGCCCACGCTGGCCTCAAATTCACAGTGATCCTCCTGCCTCAGCCTCTGGAGCAGAAATCATGCTTTCAAAATGTTAAAAACTAGTCTCAGCAAATATATAAAAAGTTTACAGCTTTTGAAAACATAAATGAAGGATCCATTGTTTGGCCAAATCTTCAGAATCATCATTCTACTGCCTGGTGTTTTGTTTTGTTTTGAGATGGGTGGGGTCTTGCTAAATGACCATACTGGCACTGATCTCGAGATCCTCCTGCCTCAGTTTCCTGAGTAGCTGGGATTACAGGCATGGGCCATGATGCATGGTGCTAAAATTTGCATTCTAATTTTCATGTTTTTGGATCTTGGAAAATAGCATTTTTGAGAAGGTGGCAGAGGTAACAGGTTTTTGGTTTTGTTTTTACTGAGGCAAAAGTTTGAAAGACAGCTGCGCAGTCACAGTATACCACAGGGCGAGTTGACTGCACCATCGGTTCCCACTGTGTGCATGAGTGGAGAGGGAGGAACTCACTGACTCAGCACACAGTCTGATCCCTGCCTTCCCTGTTCCTGAGATCTGTGGAGGGTGTGGGGTGGGTGGGTACTCTTTGCTGATTTCTGAATGTGCCCATATCTGACCAGCAGATGGTAGCACGAGGCCACATATGAAAGCGACTCCCTCAATCCTTTCCAGTCCAGCAGGTGTCACCCAGTGGGCCCTTCAGTGCCCTACACCTGGCTCCTCCACAGAAGGCGCTTAAGCAGTGGATTCTGATTGACACTACATTGTTTCTTGCCATTATAACAAAAGTGCCAGTCTTTCCACTTAAAGCCAGGACAGAAAGTATTATTCTGATCAGTTTCTTTTGTTTTTGTTTTTAATTCTGCAAAAGACCATTCCCATATTTCTCCAGGCTTTAGGCACAGGACTGTGTTGTATCATGGACGGGCTGGTTCTCAGTTACTGCGGCTCATCCACTAGTATTTGCATCTCAGCTCGGATGCTGTGTGACTGCATACCTTTGGCAGGGCCTAGGGTCTCTCTAAATCTCCACTTTCTCTCCAAAGAGGGCAGGGATGTGGTTTGAAGTGAGCCTCCCACTCATATGCTAAAGGCCTAACCACCACCCCCATCTCAAAATGTGATTAAGAGGTGACTAAGTTAAAATGCCACCTTGAGAATGGGTCCCCACTCCAGTGTTACCGGTGTCTATGAAAGAGTTGGTAACTGCCCACAGAGCCCCGGGAGATGCGCCTGCTTGCAGGGAAGCCAGCCATCCATAAGCCAAGGATGGAGATGGTGGAGGAACCTAACCCTGCTGCACCCTGTGACTTAGACTGGTGGCCCCAGTACTGGGAGGAAATAAATGTTTCTGGTGAAACCACCAGATTGGTTGCTTGCAAACTCAACCGGGAACTGAGAAAACATACTCTTCACTGGCAGAGCAATAAAAGGAATACATAGATATAAAAACAACAGATTTTCTGGTGGCATACAAGAGACCAGAAAGTCACCAAGTTGACAGTCATCATTTTTAGTGCCTCCCACTTCTGGTCATTTGCCCACTTGTGCCACTGCTGATAAGTGTTCCTTGCCACAAATCCGCTCTTCCTACAGAATGTAGAAACCATCACAAGGGTAGCACACAGGAAACCCCAACTGCACGTTCACAATTCCATTTTCCTGTTCCTCTTGCTAACAGGGAAGGCTCTCCCCTGAAAGGCCGGCTGCTCCATGGGCTGTGGCTCTGACCCTCCAACCTCTAGCTCTCCCTTTTAGGTCTGGAAGCCTCCTCTGCTCCACCACCTGGCTCCTCACCTACTCCCTGATTAGGCTGAGACCTGAATCTCCCCTTTCCCACATCTTGCACACTCTCTTTTAAATTGTGAAAAATATTCCTATGTGGGAAAGTCCAATGAGAAGAAGGATAAAACAAACACCAGTATACTCTGCACAGGTGAGGAATGGCACATTTACTGGTTCTTTGGTTCTTCAGAATTCTCCTGGTGCCTCCACCTTTCTCAGGCCTCCATCACAGGTCACAGTGGCAGGTGACCAGGCTTTGATCCAATTATTCTGTTGTTTCCCCTTATAGCTTCCCTGTTTACCATATTTCACTGAATTGAAACCTGCAGGATTATTTTATGCCTCAAAAGAGAAAGGTATTGCTAAATGTGCTGGCCATGAGACACGTCACCATTTTTGAGAGTTTAAAATTGTGGGGAAAGGTATAAATCAGCAAACAGCCCAAACACTGTGTTTTTTGTTTTGTCTTTTTGAGCTTTTTATAAATGGAATCATGTTGGATTAAAGTTTTACAATTACCTGTTGTTTCAGAGTATGCATCTCTCTCTCTCTCTCTCTCTCTCTCTCTCTCTCTCTCTCTCTCTCTCTCTCTCTCTCTTTCTCCTACAGATTGATCCTACTCTATTATTGTTTTAGAATACTATTTCTATTCTATTTCAATAACTTTTCTTGAAAGTTTAGTAAAACCCCAAATGGTAACTGGATCTTGTGTTTTGTAGAACATTTTAAAGTGCTAATACATTTACTTTAGAGGTAAAAGATCCTAAGGTTTCCTATTTATTAAGTATGTTGTCAATTTGTATTTTACTAGGCACTTTTTCTTTTCGCCTGAGTTTTCAAATTAACTAGCACTACATTATTCAAAATATTTAATTTTGCATGCATCTGTATTCATCTTTTTTGATAAATCTGTAAAGAATCATTTTTGTTTTGCCTTGTTGCTCTTTTCTCTTGTAAGTTTGCTGTGCTATTAGTTTCTGCTCTATTGTTTTTTCCTTCTATTTCCCTTAGGTTTACCTCGATGATCTTCTGATCACTTATTAAATTTGGTGCGATTCGCCTCGCTCCTGAAGTCCGTTTTCTGGGAAGGCCAGGCTCTTCCGGCATGGCCAGTGCAGCCTGCGGAGGCATGGCTGAGAAAAGGCAAAGTCATGCTGCAGAGGACCAGCCTGCCATCCTAGCAGGTGTCTGGCGAGCCGGCTAGCGCTGCTCGGCTCCAGCTAGCGCTTCTGCCGGCTGGGTCTGCAGCACACACCTTACAGCCTGACACTTTTAAGCAAGGCTGGAGGGGAGTTCAGCCTGCCTTCCTGCCTCGCACAGGGACAAAGAGTAGTGGTCTTGGCGGATGTTCTCTGTCCAGTTCTCTTTGTCTCTGAGTCTAGACCACTCATTTCCTTTCATTCAACTAGCTTTACTTTTGGCCCCGGGCGGGTTCTTTTGTGAGCTGCTGTCTTCGGTTCTCACACTTTGAAACTTATGGACCTCCCCCAGGACCCAACCATGAGTGCCGGGGTACAAAAGACCAGTAAACAAGTGCCCGTGGGAAAGAACACCACCGAAATGAATAAAAATATCTTCACAGCCCAACGGCAAAAGCTTGTATCTAGAGTAAAACGTAATCTTTCTCTTCCCTGCATGGAAGGATATCAGAGCACCCCACCAACTGAGGCAACACCCCCCCAAAAGACCTCAGCCTGAATTTTCAGGCGAGAGAGAGCAGGTGAGCATGACAGGCAGCCTGCAGGAGGGTAGTTTGGGGCGTGCAGGGGGCGGGGTGCAAGGTTGCTGGCGCTGGGGATCTTTTCCTTCTGTGGTCATAACCTTAGCGGGAGGCCTCTCCTCTCCTTCCCTCTGGCCTCCGCTGCCTCCTGCCATGATGCCTTATCCCGCTCATGAGAGATGTGAGGGGCATCAAAAAAGCCTACTATCCTCCATTCTGTCCACGAGTCACCGTGTGTGACTGCTGCCCTCTGGGAGCCCCACCCGGCGCGATCGGTGCGTGGGTTCCCTCCAGGTCCGCACTGCGGTGCAGCGGCAGCAGGGGGCGCCCGCGGCCGCTCTGCTCGCCCTGCGGCAGCCGCAGGGAAACTGCGCCTGCGGAAGCGGGGAAGGAGAGCGTGCGGGGACACTGCGGGCCGGGCTCTGCAACGCGCTGTGCGGATTTGCGGTGGCTGCAGCCTTGCTGGCGCCCAGAGCGCTGTCGTGACCCCGGGGTTCCCATGTTCCTGGATCCCTCGTCTCAGAGGGGAACATTACTGATGCCACACAGTGGCTCATGCCCACCTAAGAGCCCTGCTCCAGGTGGCAGCCTCCTTCTGTGCAGGAGCTGGGCTGCAGGGGCGGAAGGAAGCTGTGGTGTGCTTATGGACGCCTTTTCCTGGAAGCAGAGGGAGAAAATCAAGCTCCCACAGGCGGCGTGGTAGATGGGGCAAGAATGCTCCAGGAGAAGACGGGATGCCAAGATTCCAGATCTTTCCTAGGTGCCTGGCACAGTTGGGGGAGGAGGGCGCTGTATGCGGTATCTCTTTGAATTCCACAGTGACTCTTTGAAGTAGGTAGGCATCATAAACCCATTTGCTCATAAACGTTTGGAGACTCACAGGGAATGGAGAAGTGACCCAAGGTCACCATCTAGATGCAATGCAGACAGAGCCGATCTTTGTGTTTGGTCATGATGGCTTATAGTACAGGTGACAGAAGAGACACGTGGAAACAAAGCAGACCAAGACCTGAGCCCGGGTGGAAGCCTCAGCCTTTCCTGCTGGGCTCTGCAGCCAAGTGAACTTGGCAGGAGCCAAGGGACAGGGGCAGGGCAGGGAGGGACCCACATATACATTCCCTGCCCTTGGCGTGATGAACACTCCCCACCTGGACAGGGGTCAATGTCCTAGGGAAGGCAAGATGGGCAGAGCTCATGAGGTGAGGGATAAGAGAGGAAGACACTTAGAATTTTCTCTGGCCTAAAATTGTCTACTTATGTCTTTGAATGCTGTGGAAGTAGATCCTCAAAAATCACTTTCACAAGTTAATCGTTAACTTTCCCCACAGGCCGGGTGACCTTTGCGATGTGGTTGAGGTTTTGTTTGCTTTGCTTAAAAGTTTTGGAGTCTGTAATTGGACCATCACCCTTTAGGTGAAAAAGAAAGGAATTTGGGGGTCCAGTAAAAGACTTGTTTTGCTTCCTGTCCTCTGCATCTGGAAAGTCGGGCACCATTTCCTTGGTGCAAGTTTATGAACTGAGACCCAGAAAAAACAGTTGATTTTCTCTGGCTGTGGGCCTCATGGAGTGCTAAGTATGGGAGACCTGAGTAGACACCCCCACTCCACCCCGAAGGAATAAAATCCAACCATCATGGCCCTGCACCTGATTCCTAAAGATCCCACTTGCCTCTGGGAGGCTGCCAAATTTACCAAGAGAGAAGAAGGTGATCTTTATTTCATTAATACAGTGCCTCGATGAACCTGAGACGTGAAGAGAGAGATGCAAATTAGTTTCTTTGTTAAAACGAAATATTATAACAACACTAAAATTTTAACCACCTAAAGGATAACTGACCTCCTGTATAAATTAGAGAGAACAAATTGGCTGTGTGAACTAAGAGAAATCAGCTGACTCTCATGACCTTGGGTTCGCCTCTGCAGGGGAGGAGAGTGAGTTCCACAGTCCCTACTGAAGCCTGCATGTCACAGTGTGCAATCCTCCAGGCTGTTTTATCGGGCTGTCCCAGCACTGTCCCGACTGTCTTTCCTTTGTGATCAAAAGGGTTTGTTGAACCACACCCAGATCTCTGACCTGCCAACTGACTGATGTTTTCTCTAGGTATCTTGTAGGGCCCTGAAAGTGCCATGCACAAAACACACATATCCCTACCTTCTCTTCTCAGCCTAATTCCTCTCACTCCCCCCATCTCTTTCAGGTACCTGGCCTGGGAACCTTCCTACCATCTTTGACATCTTCCTGGAAGTTGTCTGTGAAGAATCCTTCTTCATAGTTGACTACTTCTATCCAGCTCAGACTCTGTTTCTCTCACACCTGGGTCCTTAGTGACCGCTCCCCTCAACAGCCGCTCCTCCTTTTTACCACCATCCTACTGTCACCTAAATCCCCAGCTCCGGCCAGCCTGTCCTCTATGATGGGAAATTGAAGAGTTTCCTGTTGTTAACTAAAAGAACAGTTGCCATTCGGGGCTATCATGAAGTAGCCCATCCCCACCCCCCTGCCACTTGTTCCTCACAGTTCAACAAAACTCAGTGTTGCCCACACACAACCTGTTGGTCTTATCTCCTCCCACCCACACTGGGGGTCTAACCCAGGACCTTCTGCACATGCTAGGCAAGTGCTTTATCACTGAGCTGTAGCCCCCACTCTGCTTTCTTTGTCTGTCACCTCACTCATAACACTCTCTCTAGAACGCATGCAGCTTCCCTACTTGCCTATAAAAATCTCAATCTCCTCATGGTGGCCTAGCTCAAATGCTCTTTTTCTGACCATTTGTTTTTGTAGGAACCATCCAGGTTCAACATACCATCCGGGCACCATCCAGGTACCAACGTACCATCCAGGGCTCTGTGATATCTACATGAATTCTTTACAAGGGAAATGCTGCCTGAAGACCTTCTCGACTTAGAGTTTCCACTATATCTCAGCATCTCCATACCAGGGACCAGAGTCCCAGTGTGTGACTCTTCAGGAGACTCACTCATGCTATACGTGACCATAGCAGCCTCTGATCCATCCATCAAAGCCAGAGAAATGCTGGGACTGCTGCAGCCAAAGGAAAAGAGGAATGACAAACTAGGAGAGGAAATATTGACTTCAACATGGAGAGCTTTTACTTAATGCATAGGGAACAGAGTGGGAAATGTGAGGTGAAATAACTCCCATCCCTTCGAGATTCTTGAGGGAACAAGGGGTGTTAAAGAGTCCTGGGGAAATAGAGAATCTATGTCAAAGTCCTTGTAGTCAAGTCTTTTTCATCATTCCTGAAGTGTTCAGTCATATTTTACCTTCTTTTCCAAAAAACTGATCTTTAGGATCTGCTTTGGACTTGTACAAAGAACAAACTAAAAGTGATCTCTCTAAAATGTTTGGAATTTGTGGGGTTTTTTCTGTCAATTTATTTTGCATTTGCACATTTTTATTTTTCCTGAAGAAAGATTGTATATATGTTGGTGACTTAACAAAAGGGAAATATTTGTTTTTAAAGTCTTCTGGCAAAGATTTGAATGACTATATTGAATTGAAAATTCAAATTTTGGGGTTTTAAAAATCTTTTTGAGGCAGTTTCATGCTGCAATCAGGTTGTTCTTGAACTCACTTTGTAGCCCAGGTTGACCTCAAACTCACAGAAAATTTTCTGCCTCAGCTTCCCAAGTGCTTAGATTACAGATGTGCACCACTATGACCAGCCTGAAAATTCTATTTTTAAAAAGAAAATTATATATTTCTCATTGAATTTCCTTGGGCCAGGTACTTAAACTCTTTATTATTATTCTTATTGTTATTAATTATTATTTTTTAAAAAGAATAAAACCAAACAAAACAGAATAAAGCCAGTCAAAACAAGACAATGAAAGTCATATAGAACTTAAAAACAGGATTATAGGAAATCAGCAATGGCTACCATAATATGTCTTATCTTTGAACTAGGTGTTCATGCCATCAGTTATAATAAAATCAAACAAAACAAAACAATGAAAATGACACAGGACTTTAAAGCAAGATAATAGGGAATTGATAATGGCTACCACCTTCAGAAGGAGATTCTCCCATAGATACTATATTATATATTGTTATCCTCTAAATAGATGCTCAGACTACTGGTTTTAGGCCTGCAAAATCAACCAAACAAAACAGGCATTAAGTTGTTTGTACTTCACTGGCTATAATCTCCACCTGTGTGTCTCCAATCAGTCAATTGCTTATGTAGGGGGGGATGTTGGCACGTCTTGTTCCCAACCCATGCAAAAGTTTGCTCACAGGAAAGAGTTAGCTTCTTCTTGGTTCTCTTCCTGAGACCTTAATTAAACTCTTTAGTCTCACTTTCTTTATCTGGAAAAAAGAAACAGTAATACATACCTCATGGAGTTGCCATGACATGAGAAAATCAGCCATCCAAAGAGTGCTTAGCCCAGATGGGCCAATGCAGGCTGTGGATATGGATGTGGACTCCAGGATAAATCACCCCAAAGCTTTAGAAATTCCGGCATGGAACTTACAAATAATGGCAGGAAATCTAAACTAATCCTGCGACCTTAGCATAAAGTCCCCAGATGAAAGTTTGATATGACCTGTTTCCTCATGTAATTGACTAATTTGTCTTAAAGAGAAATAATCATAAAGCAGAAAGAATTTTTATGGGTCTTCCCATGAAGCAAGCCCCACCACGCTGATGGGAAACAGCTTCAGCCAGAAAAGAAACCACACCTTCCAATGAAGCGAGCCTTGCCATGCTGATCATTAAGAGCCTCAGTCAGCCAGCGTGGGCTAAAAAACAAGAAGAGCACCCCCCACCCCACCCCAACCCCACTCCACCCCCTGCTGATTAGGCGGACTCAAAGGGAGATGGTAGCAACTGAGGGGAAGGGAATAGACTGATGCTTGTGTTGTTTGCTTGACTCTGTGGGCCTGGTGCTGGTGGTCTGGGCATCTACTTGGCAGGTGGTAGTGTGCATTGTGTCAGCTGTGGGGGATTTCCTCCTGTCTTGTTTTTGAAATCCAGCGTTCTGTTACATTTTACTGTTTTGTTTTATCCTTGTGTCTGATAACCTGAATGACTATTTTGAAAATAATAATATGCAGTAGTGTTCTCGGGGCTGGGGATTTAGCTCAGTGGCATAAGTGCCTGCCTTGCAAGCAGGCAGTCATGAGTTTGATCCCTGGTACCGGTAAAAATACAAAAAAAAAAAAAAAAAAAAAAAAGTAGTGTTTTCACTGTTTTCTTTGTTCTAATTTATTGTTTAGTTTTATTCAGTGTTGTGTTTTGATTGGTTTTATTCTGTTTTGTTTGATTCTGCTATGTCTGATGGTATGGACAACTATTGAGAAGATAGCAAGATGTATAATTATAGATAGCCATTATCAATTTTCTAGTGTCCTGTTTTGAAGTTCTGTACCACTTTCACTGCTATACTTTATTTGGCTTTATTATGTTTTGCTTTGTTGGGTTTTACTGTCTAAAAATTTTTACAAAAAGGAATTTTTTATGAATTTCCATGTTCTGATTTATGTAAGAAATGAAGTATGCTAAGAGATTCCGTATTTTTATGGAGCTTTTTAGTTTAGAAAGAGCTTTAACATGCTCTATCTCTTCTGGATTATCAAAATCACTGCCAATAAAAAGTCTTGAAAGGGACTGACCACTTTGATTTTGTAAACAGGAAAGTGATGACTCTAAGAGATAAAGAACTCATCAGCTGTTTTGAAGAGAACAAGAGACATTATGGTAGCCATTGTTGACTTTCCTATTGTCTGGTTTTGAAGACTGGTAATTCTTTCATCCTTTTACTTTGATGGGTTTTATTTTTTTGTTTTGTTTGAATTCATCGTGTGTGAAGATATGGACAACTATTTCGGGGAGAACAGGAGACACGTGGAAGCCACTGTTGATTTCCTGTTGTGTTGAAATCCTGTGTTGCTTGCATTGTTTTGTTCTGATTTGCTTTGTTCTGTTTTGTTCTGTTTTGTTTTGTTCTATTCTCTTTCAAGTAAAAAAAGAATAGTAAGGCCTGCAATCATCAGACCCCATCTTCTGTGTCTGATTCTGACTAATGTCTTCTTGGCGTTGGAAGTGATAACTAACCCTATAAACAAGGCTGATCAAGCCCTTTTTGACTGATGAATACATTTTTCAGTTTTCTCACATACAGGGAACCTGCAAGCACTTGAACAATGGTATTCACTTTGCTGAGGACAGTGGCTGAAGCTTTTCTGGGTCACTAAAGTGTCTCTGTGTGAATAAAACCCAGACAGATCATGGAGCTGAACTAGGAAGGAAGGAGGTGGTGAAGCAGGCCACCCTGCCGGGCAGCTCTGGATTACCGGGTGGAGCACGGCTAAAACTGAACAGGCTTTCCCCCCAATTCCTGTGTTGGACCCTAACTCCTAGCACAACAGTAGCTAATAGGTGTGGGCTTGTGTCGGTGACTTTCCGGTCACTGGCAGCTGGGGGCGGGGGATATCAGACACCTGCAACCTGAGGAGGAGAGGCCTATTTGGTTTCAGTGCCTGCTTGGCTGGTTTCAAGGCCGAAGTGGCATACTCAGGAAGGGTGTTCACCTCCGGGCATCCAGGAAGCAGAGAGAAAGAGGAGCCAGAAAACTTTTCCAGTCATATCCCAGGAGCCTCCTCCATCCAGCCCCATCTCCTCATAGCACTCTCAGCTACTGAACCATGAATGGGCTAATGCACTGACAGGCATAGAACCCATCACCCAGTCACCTCGCAAACAGATGAGAACTGGGGGGAGTTTTTATTATTTAATTTAATTCCTTAGGTCATTTGAGGCAGGGTCTCTCACATTGTCCTTGAACTCACTATGTAGCCCAGACTGGTTTCAAACTCACTGTGATCCTCCTGCCTCAACCTCCCGGGTGCTGGGGTTACAGGAGTGTGCCAGCATGCCTGATGTGGGGGATGTTTTGAATCTACACCATAACAAGCCTTTTGGGAAGCGATGAAGCCATGAAGGCTCTACCTTTGTACATGGAATTGGCGCCCTTATAAAAGAGATTGAAGGGAGTTACCTGGTCCTCTTTATCATTTGAGGACACAGCAATGAGGTACCCACCATGAGAAACAGGCCCTCTCTAGACAGGTGCCTTAACCTGGGACTTCCCAGCTCCAGAATTGGAACAATAAATTTCTATTGTTTGCAAATTACTCAGCCAAAGACATTTTGTTATCTTACATAAACAAACTAACACAAATACTAACCCAGTATTTTCATTGCATCATTCTGTCTGCTTGGGGCTGCATTTTAAATGAAGCCTGGCCTGGCGCAGCTCAACACCTCCCAACAGTCACTGAGGGACAGACTTCTCCAGTAGAGAGAGGTTTGATCTGTTTCTAGGGGTCTTATTTCAGTTTAGAATTCTTAGATGAACTGCTAGCCCTTCAACTTCTGAGTCTTCAAGTTAGCTCTGCGGGGTGGGGGTGGTTGGTAGAAGACACAGTGAATTCATGCAGTTTCGAGGAGGCTATGGCACCCTCTGCCAAGCCTTGCAGCACTGCTGGTTAAGAAGCAGAGACCCAGAGACTTTCAATGGGTTCTGAGCCAGAGAGATTCCAGGAGGAACCAAGAGACTACGTGCTTCTAGGGTCCTCACATGTGACTCTGTCCTCCTACTCAGTGCTTAGGCAGCTGGCTTTGAGGACTTGGCCTCTTAATGTCTTTGCTTTGAGGAAATTCCAAAGGCAATTTGCTACTAGATCTCTCTGTGCATTCTGAATGCTCAGTCTCCCTGGCTACTGGGCACTAAGTGCTGTTAACCTTCTCCCTCTTGTCGTTGTGACAACCAAAGACATCTGTCTAAATTTGACTCCTTCATTTTGAAATGGCTGCATGGTCATCAACATGAAATTCACTGATGTAGTTTGACTAGTTATGTTTTTGTTTAGAAGTGTCATACCCACTAACAGTAGAGTCAGCAAACTAGGAATTGCTGACAAAATTTGGCCCACAGCTGGGTTTTGTATGATTCTCAAGCTAAGAATGGTTTTCATGCTTTTAAAGTGAAGAAGGAAGAAGAGGAGGAAATGTAGAAGAGAGAGAGAGTTTGCA